CAATGACTGGATGGCCCTCAGCAACTTGCCATCAATCCCGTATGCACGAAGGCATGTCCACAGACTGTTGTGTGGGAACCGGTTATACGCTTTCTCTAGGTCCACAGAACACATGTACACCGGTTGGGCGTACTCCCATGATTTCTCAGCAATCTGGCGCAGGGCAAATATATGGTCAGAGGTGCTTCGACCGGGCCGGAAGCCACACTGCTCTTTCAGCAGTCATTTGAAATAACAAGGCTAGGGTAACTACAGCAGGCTTGACCCTACCTACAGTGTCGACACCTAGAAATGCAAGATTGTTGAGGGATCTTGCTCCGGATTCAACGATGACTGTGCACTTCCTGAATCTGAACTAAACCATTTAAACAATTACCTGGAAAAATTTACTTAAATAAAGTAAACTCCTCAACTGGGAATATTTACAAACTTTAACCTAAAACCAGTGTTTAGATCCTCTTGGAAACTTTTAAAGACACTTGAACTAATACTCTGACACTTGGACCACTCTTAAAATTATCAGCACATTTTAAAAAAGCCTGATCAGTAAGAAAAAAATACTTGCAGATCTGCATCTGCCATCTGAAGAAAATCAGTTTCCAGCGATCAATGAGACTGCTTCCAGGCGTGCAGGTACAATGACAACAGCTCGAGACGCTTTGGATTCGATGCCGGGTTGAATCCGCGGAAGGAACAACGTTAATCTTATCATCCAATTCCCTTAAGTAAAGAATTAACCTCAAGTTGCCTTCGGCGAAACCAGCCGTGGACGTCGACCGTTGGCGGCTATAAATCATAATTGTACTACCAGGAATGGTAGGTATGAATACTTGTTACAGAAACAGAAAATCAAAGATTAGCAACAGCAAGTATGGCGATGCGCAAAGAATGGAACTCCCCACTGACCACTCTCGTATCTACGCCCATCGTGGATAAATACACGTGATTCACTTTGCCATTCAGAACGGCGTAGAGCGGCTATCGCAACAGCAGTGTAAAGTAAACGACAGAAGGAGGCAGAAGTAATGATGCGACGGCATGGCGACATATAGCTCGAATTCAAACTCCGGAGGTTCCAGATTCGAATCTGGACAAGTGACAAGTGACGTTTGACCGTTGCCTTAACCGCCAATCCTTTTGAATGTCCAAGAAAAATACCTCATGTTGCTTTGGTAGAACCAGCCGAGAAACGAGTAGCAAGTCGCTGACTTGCCAACAACAGGGACTGCTCAGCATTCTAGTGTGGTCATCCCAGAGTAAGCTGTACTTCGTTGTGACCCACCTGGTAGTTGAGTGACGGTGATAACCATCGTAAGGCATAATACCGAAAGAAGTGCAGCGTCAGTACTTTATGTCGAGTGAAACAAAGACCCGGAGCCGGCTGGCAACACTGCTGCGAACAAATGAAGAAGTGATCACCACCAGCACGAAGGTAGCGTCGCGCCGCCATGTCAAGGTGAGCAACGGTGGCCAGTGTTGCGTCAGCGAACGCCGCGCCATCTACTGGCTTAAATGAACGACATCGGAGCGACGCGACGCAGCGCGGTGATCGACACGCGACGCGACGTCGGCCAGCCAACAGACCGTCCAGCCGGTCGGTCGGTTACAGGCGTTTGGTGACGGTCGTGCGAGCAAGCGCTGATGAGGGAGAGGAAACTGCGCGCGCGGCAGCCGTCGGAGGACATCATCGACCGCGTAATGTGCTTATACACCACTTGTGACAGATCGATCGTGCGATTGACTCGTCGCTCGACCTTATTACCGGCGACTGCGTGTTTATTTTTGCCAGGTGGACAATGATTGACGCTTTTGATGACATCGTTGATTGGTTGATGCTACGCATTGCTTGTTGTTCGATTCGTCAGATGAAATAGCCAATCAGCGATCGGACACCTTGACAACTGCCACATTCACTGGTAACTGTGTCACGTTGGGAGATGAGGCGTAGTGTGTAGCAGCGTGTGACGCGATGAAGTGTTAGTGTGAACGTTGCGTTATTCATGGTCGTCGCCACATTCGCCGCCAACGTTATCGCTGCCGCCGCCGCTGTCGTCGTCGTCGTCGTCGTCGCTGTCACTTTTGCCGCTGCTGTTGTAGCGGCCATCGTCGCATAAGTTTGGTCGTCACGCCTCGTGACCACTGTCCACGCATTTGCTAGCCACACAACATTGTGACCGACTCTATCGCCGCTGCCGCTGTTCATGTGTATTACTGTTTGCGGTCTGCGTTGCATCAACCTTTGTCATCAGTCGATCCACGTCGTTTTGTAACTCGTGCGTGAGTCGTCAGTGCGTGCGATCCTCGCTGCGTGTCGCTGCCGTCGTCGTCCGACTGTCGTCTCGTCGTCGTGCTCGCCTCCGTCGCATCCATTCCTTCCGTGGTCGTGCGAGTTGTTGCTTGGTGACCGATCGACGACGTCATCGGTGGTCATCGCATACGATTCACGAACGTCTCCGCTGCCGCTGCCGCTGCCATCTCCATTTGACCAGTTTTCACCGTTCGTCGATTGTTCGTTGTCCTCCGCCGCCAGCCGCTTAATCGACCGTTGGACGCTTGTAGACGCCGCCGCTGCCGCTGCCGCCGCCGCCGTTGCTGCTGCTGCGCCGCCGCGTTCGTCGCCCATGTATCCCAACAGACATCCGGTGAGTGCAAGGCGCCGCCTCCACGCCGCTTGTGATCTAATAATCAGCGGCGACGTCAGTTGATTCTTGTCATTGCAGGGACCCCCTCAACCGGGCCAACCTTTCAAGTTCACCGTCATCGAGTCGTGCGATCGCGTCAAGGAGGAATTCAACTTCTTGCAGGCGCAGTACCATAGGTGAGTGAAAACGCGAATACGACTTCTTTCTTCCGACTGTTCGTTCATTGTGTTTTACTTCTGGTTCCA